TAGGCGAATTCAACTTGAGGTATAGCTTAATCCCACATCTTTGGCTTCTCTCTACATATGCATCGAATCAAGTTTCCCAAAGTCCGATTGACCACTTCGGTTTGTCCATCCGTTTGAGGATGTGCTGTGCTAGCATACTTCAATGAAGTATCGAATCGTCGCCATAAAGTAGTCCAAAAAGTCACCAAGAACCTAGAATCCCTATCCGAAACAATCGAACTAGGGACACCATATAGCCGAACCACCTCTTGAAAGAATAATCGTGCAATATGTGGTACATCCGAAGTCTTGCGGCACGGGATGAAGTGAGTCATCTTAGAAAAACGATCCACTACCACGAAGATTGAATCCACGCCTCTTTGTGTTCGGGGAAGTCCCAACACAAAGTTCATACTCAAATCTTCCCATATATCCTTGGGCACAGGTAGAGGGGTATACAAACCAGTATTCTGTACTTGCCCCTTTGCAACTTGGCACGCCTGACAGCTCTTCATAAGTGTTGCCGCATCTTTCCTCAAGCTTGGCTAATAATATCTCTCATCAAGACTCAAAACAGTCTTGTCTCAGCCAAAATATCCGCCAAGCCCGCCACCATGTAAGTCTCGAACTATCTTTTTCCTTAATGATGTCCTCGGTATACAAAGCCGATTCCTTTTTAATAGAAAGCCGTCCATAATAACAAAGTCTCATATGAGTTATCTTGTCAAACACTTTTCCCAAACCTCCTGAAAGTCTTCATCATTAACATAAAGCTCCTTCAAACTGTCAAAAGCAACAACTTCACCTCACAATATGCTTAACAAAGATACCCGCCGACTCAAAGCATCGGGCACTTTATTGACGACTCCTGACTTATGTCGCAACAACTTCAAGATACCCGCCAACATCCATGCATTTTGTTGATATGCTTCTGATTCTTAAAGTGTAAAAGAGACTAATGATCGGAGTAGATCACGAAGTCGTTAGCAATGAGGTAACTCTCCTAAGTCTTCAAAGAACGAAAAACGGCATATAACTCCTGCTCGTAAGTACTCTACTTCTGCCGAGCTTCATTCAACTTCTCACTCAAGAAAGCAATGGGGCGCTTCTCTTGAGAGAGGATTGCTTCAATACCCACACCGCACACATCACACTCAAGCTCAAAGAGCTTTTCGAAATCCAGAAACGCCAAGATAGGTGCAGTGGTAATCTTCTCTTTGATAAAGGCAAAAGCTGTGTTTGCTTCGTCGGTCCACTCAAAAACACCCTTCTTCTTCAAGCAATCCGTCATGGGAGCGACTATAGAACTGGAATTGCGAATAAAACGCCGATAAAAAGATGCTAGCCATGAAAACTTCTTACTTCCGTGACACTTTTTGGAGTCGGCCAGTTCTTGATTGCCTTAACTTTGTCTTCGTCGACTTGGATCCCCTGCGAGCTTACCACGAACCCCAAGATACAAGTTGAGTTGTCAAAAACACACACTTCTTAAGGTTGATATAAAGTTCATTCTCCTTTAGCACTTGGAAGACTTTTCGGAGATGCAACATATGCTCCTGTTCATCTCGGCTATAGATGAGGATGTCATTAAAGTAGACGACTACAAATCTCCCAAAGAAAGGCTTCAAATTTTGGTTCATCAAATGCATAAATGTGCTTGGAGCGTTCGACAACCCAAAAGGCATCACCAACCATTTGTAGAGGCCTTCACTACTCTTGAATGCAATTTTCCACTCATCGCCGGGTTGGATTCGGATCTGGTGATATCCACTCCTCAAATCGACCTTCGAGAAGACACCCGCGCCTCCCAACTGATCCAACATGTCGTCTAGCCGGAGAATTGGGAACCGGTAGCGAATGGTAATATTGTTAATGGCTCGACTATCCACACACATCCGCCAGCTTTCATGTTTCTTTGGTGTCAATAGGGTCGGGACTGTGCAATGACTCATGCTCTCTCAGATGTGACCTTTCTTAATAAGATCCTCAATTGTATCTTGTAAAATCTTCTTTTCCTGCGGGTTTATGCAATAATGGGGAAGATTTGGGAGCACTGAACCGGGAATGAAATCAATGTGGTGCTGAATATCCCTCATGGGTGGAAGACCCTCTGGCAGCTCCTCGGGAACTAACACTTCGAACTCCTTAAGCAGCGACTTCATCTTCTCTGGAATTTCAACGAGAATCTTCACTTCTTCTTTCACAACTAAAACAAACCTCTGCTTCAACTCCTTTGACTCAGCTAGGTTCTCTCCTTTGTTACAAAGAGATATCCTTTTGGACTTTTGATCTTTGAGGCTCTTTGGAGAGGGTGGAATAGCTGGTAGGATGCTGTTTTTATTCATCCACACAAAAGAGTACTCGTTCTTCTTACCGTCGTGCTTAGCATCAACATCACACTGCCATGGCCGCCCTAACAAGACATGACACGCGTCCATATCCATAACATCACAAATAATAGAATCATTATAAGTCTTTCCTAGTGATAATGATACGCGGCATACTTCGATCACCTCCACATAAGGACCCTTTTTGATCCATCCGATGGTGTAAGGCATAGGCTTGGTCTCGGTCGGCAGTTTCAAGTGATTCCCCAAGGCCTTTGACACGATGTTCTCACAATTTCCATTGTCAATGATGAGGGTACACACCTTGTTGTTGATTGAACATCTAGAAAAGAAAATTTGATATCATTGTGATGAATCTGGTGTCTTCTGAGCGCATAGGAGTCGTTGAATAACATACGACACATTGTCGCCTTCAATTTCAGCAACCTCTTCATCGTACTATTCTTCAGATGTTGTGTGTCCATCCTCAGCTTCTTCATAATCCGCTATTATTGACCTTCCGCCATTGCGGGCACTCGTTGGACTTATGCCCTTGTTGGAGACATCGGAAACACTTCCCGACGGTTAACTTGGCATACTGATTTGCCTGAGTCGTCTGGGGCGGTGGCTGAGTCGTCAACCGCTCGGTCGACCATGGAGGAATATGGCGATCAGTCGTCCCCTGCCTTGTCGACTCACCTCTCGCCTTCTCGATCGAACCTCCCTATTTGGCTCGTCTGAAAGGTAACGTTTTGGAGGCTAATCTTTCCGCCTTCAGAGCCATATTGTGGGCTTCGTCCACGGAGTACACATTGTGGATGGCCACCTTCTCTTGAATTGAGTACTTCAAACCGTCGATATACTTGGCTGCGAGTTGTTCCTCGCTCATCGACAAATCGCAACGAGAAGTAAGACGGAAGAACTCTTCGGTATAGGCGCTTACTATTCAGATTCCTTGACGGCATTGCTCGAACTGGTTGTAGAGGATTTGTTAATAGCCAGGTGGTAGAAATCTTGCCTGTAGTAACTACTTCACGCGTCGCCAAACCCGAACTGATTGCTTGCCTTGCCGTCGCCTAGTGTTTTGAGTTTGGTCCCACCATGTCGCGGCTCCTCCTTTGAGACGGTACGCCACAAACTTCACCTGGTTTGCTTCGGGAATATTAGCCATTTCAAAAAATTTCTCCACTTCGTAGAGCCAATCCAAGGAAGCCTCGATGTCCAAATTTCCTCCAATGGAAGGAAACTCTACTTTCATCTGATATTCTTGTTCCTGATGATGTTGGCCTTGTTGGTGGTAGTTGTGACGAGGGTTGTAGCATCTACCCCGACCTCTGCCATAAGGTTGTTCCATCTCTTATTCGCTCGAAACATTGTCGTACCATGGCCCTTCAAATGGGTGACCATAGTCCGCTCCATCGTCACTGTAATCATCATGGTGAAGTGGTTGATTGGAAAGTCGTCGATGATGGGGAGGGTTTTGATAAGGATGGGGTTGATACAGAGGGATTTGATTTAGCAGGGGTTGGTTTGGACGTGGTTGATATGGAGGGGGATGAACTGGAGGGTTTTGAGGGTTGTACAAAGGTTTATGTCGGGTTTGCCTAAATCTGGGTCCGCATAGGTGAAGACCGCCCGTGAGATTAGTCTCGTTGTTTAGTTGAAGGGTAAGTCCTTCAATGACTTGTCGAAGGTTCTGAAGAGACGCCTCCAACGTGCCAAATCTTCCTTCTATAGAATCCATCCTCGCGGAAAGATCCTGTAGAGAAAGCTCCTTCTCGCCGTCATCTGCCATTGTCGAGGATGTTGAAGCCAAAGCTCTGATACCACTTGACGCAGACGTAGAAACAGGGAGGCCGATCGGATATCGTTCCGATGTCGACGAGCCCCGACAATCGTAGGTAATTCATGAGCTTGAATCCACAAGCCCTAAGTTTCTCAAACTTGAGAAAGAAAACAAGGAGAAAAATTCTCTTGATTGAATAAATTGAAAGTTAATTGTTTGATTTACAAAAGAAACTATTATATAAAGCAAAACAAATCTATCCTAACTCTAATAAAAAAGAAACTCTTAAGTTTAAAAGGAAATAACCAAATCCAAAAGGAAATAACCAAAAAGGAACTCTTTCCTAATATGAAGTCCGAGTCGACACGAGGCGTGCCGAGTAATACTGCCTTTCGTGTCGACTAGACATTATGTCGAGTAGTCCCGCCTTTCGTGTCGACTGGAATGTGTCCACTCGTCCTGTCGCCTGTCGTCTCGTCCTGTCGCCTCTAGACGTCTGCTCGGCTCGACTGGGTTGTGTCGACTCGTCGTGTCATCATCTCGACTCGCCTATTCTGTTGTTGTCTCGTCTCGTCCGACTGTTCAGTCGACTCGGCTGCTTCTCTTCTCGCCTCGTCCAATACTTGATCTCCTGCATTAGAATATGCCCCCAATCTGCATGATAATTTTCCACAGGGACTAATATGGAGTAATTTGTATGAAATTGAGTACTTAATAGCAATTTCAAGGATTTGAAGGACTAAAACACGAAAGATTGAAGGGACCCATACCGGAGAAGCCCTTAATGATAATCTTAGACATGACCAAATTAACCATCTCAGACAATTAACCATCTTAATTAGCCATCTTAGATGCAGCCTCTACATTTTCTACAACGCTAATGGTATGAGATCTTACTGTGTTTACAGGCATATACTTACTTGGATGAGGCACATAGCATCGGTGCGGTTGGAAAAACAGGCAGAGGTGTTTGTGAGCTCCTCGGAGTAGACCCTGCTGATGTAGATATAATGATGGGGACATTTACAAAATCATTTGGATCTTTTGGGGGCTACATTGCAGCATCAAAGGTCTGTTTATTTTAGCCTTCAAATAGTTACAATATTGAGATTTTAGATGATGAGCTGATTTTCTTTGTACCCTCTACCAGGAAATAATTCAGTACTTGAAGCACGCTTGCCCCGCACATCTTTATGGAACTTCCATGTCACCACCTGCTGTACAGCAAGTAATATCTGCAATCAAGGTTATTCTCGGAGAAGATGGGTCCAATAGAGGTGAACCTCGATGTCATTACTAATACAATTTTTTTCTCCATATATGTCTGTATTGGAATAATTCTTACTCGTGAACTATATTTATATAGGGGCTCTAAAGCTTGCGAAAATTTGCGAGAACAGCAATTTCTTCAGATCAGAACTTAAGAAGATGGGTTTTGAGGTTCTTGGGGACAATGATTCTCCGGTGATGCCGATAATGCTCTACAATATAGAAAAAGTCGCAGCCTTCTCCCGGGAATGTCTGAGAAACAAGGTGAGTGTCTTTGTGTGTGTGCGTGTATAAGAAACCTATGTTAAATATGGTTCATGATGCATGATAGTGGAGGAGCTTTCCTCTTATCTCACCAAACCCTAAAAAGTTGAGGTGAGTAATGGCAATTGTTCATGAAAAGTTGTAAATTGCAGAAAATCCAGCAGAACATTGAGTGGTTGTTGCACAAAGCCCTCAAACTCTATAAATCATAGAAAACCCCACCAGAAGTTTATAAATTAGGGAAACCTCCCATGGACTTTCAAAATTCCAGTAAACCCCCTGAACTATTGGAGAATCTCATAAATAACTTTGACATCTATAGTTAAAAGCCTGAAAATGTGATATGGTTGTCATGTCTTGTTCTCCTGCATGAAAGTTCGCCACTTACAAAAATTTATCGCAAAATTTTCTTCGTAATAATTCGAACTTATCACTCTACTTGTTGTTAGTATTGTTTAGATATTTTCTGATAATTCAGGGGGGTATACTAGAATTTTGAAGGTTTCGGGGTTTCTCTGATTTTTAGAGTTCAGATGGTTTTGTTCCACACCATACAAAGTTCAGGGGGTTTGTGAAATTTACCCCAAATAAGTTTTGGATACACAGGACTATAGCTTCGTTTCAACCCAATGCTTTGTCTCAACCCAAAATAATCTGTAACTCTTGTTTATCTTTATGAAGTCCCATGCTAAGTTTCATCCTCCATAAGCGTGTTAGTCAAAAGCAGCCACCGCCCAAAGAAAAATAAGGCAAACCTTTGACAAAGCACCGAAAAAAGAAATGGGCGGCCCCAGAGCAAGAAAAAACATGTAGGCGGGCCCCACTGCGGCCCCACTACTAATAAAATATTAGTGCATAGTGTTTTCTCAAACACTATAAATAGGCCCCAAATTCTTAAGGAAAAACTCTCAGAAATAACTCCTCTTATAGAAGAGTAAGAGAGAGAAAATGAAAGGCTTAGAGAAAAGGCCTTGTGAGAGAAAATTGTGAGCAATTTTCAGAGTGGGATACGGGTTGTGAGTATTTGTGAGAGTGTAAATTTTCTCTCTTTAGTGAAAGATCTGCAGCAGCCCGTGGACGTAGACAATTTTGTGCCGAACCACGTTAAATTTGCGTATCCCTTTATTTACGTATTTATTTCGCTTTCTCATAAATCTGATAACAAGGGAATTTATGTAATTTCCCAATAACCGGTATCCGAGTTCTGGTTGTGATGTCTGTCAATTTTCTTGCGAGATTAATATTCATATGAATAGTGAATTTTGTGAATAGTAAAATTTTATCGGCGGTATTAGCTTGTCGGCAGAGGTGTCTTAATACACGGTGGTTCGCAAAAATTATCAGAAACGATCCAGAGGAAGTCAGATTCGAGTAGGAGCGATGACTGCAGACGATGGGAAGGTGAAAATTGAGAAGTTCGATGGTGCGGACTTTGGCTTTTGGAAGATGCAGATCGAAGATTATCTGTACCAGAAGAAGCTGTATCAAGCTCTCTCTGGGAAGAAGCCGGGCTATGAAGGAAGAAGATTGGAATCTTCTAGACATACAAGCCCTCAGAGTCATTCGATTGACGCTAACTCGCAATGTTGCGTTCAACATAGCGAAAGAGAAGACCACGCCAAATCTTATGGCAACACTCTCAAACATGCATGAGAAGCCATCAGCCTCAAACATGTTGGCCTTCTTTTTTTGATGATGTTTTAACAAACAATTTACAACTAATATTGTTTGTCTAGTGTTTGTGTTTTCTTATTTATTCTATCAAACAATGAGTTAGAGGATGGATGATATTGCTCCACAACGATCATATCAGTTGGAGGTTGGATGGACTAGAGCTTTCACGATCATACCCAATGGAGGTTGGCGGAATAGTGAAGTGAAGCAATGCAATTCAAGTCATAGATTCAAGCTCAAGCTTCATCTGCAAGTTTACAAAGTCGTGCTCATTGAAGACCTTCATCAAGCTTGGGTGTATTTAGTTTTAGGTTTATACTTGTGTGTAGATACTTCAAGCTCAATCACATACACACATACAAGTTTTGGTTATATATGTATGTATATATATATATATATATATATATATATATATATATACATGTTTTGATTTAATAGCTTACAAGTTTATATATGAAACTAATATACATTCTCATATACATATACACTAGTTTCATATTTATATGTGTTTGTGAATTATATACTTAACAATATTGTTTTACATCTTTCAAAAGTCTATAAATTCATTTATAAGTTGTTTTGAACTTGTTTAGATTTTATTTATGGATTAAAGACGTTTATTTGCAAAATTATATGTTTATGGATTGAAACCTTTTTTTTTTTGGTCAATGAAAAATTTTATTCATAACCAAATGTGAAATTGAATTACATCCCTTTGATAACAAGCCGAGCCTGAAAAGCTGAAAAGACTCTGTATACTCAAGATAATCTCTCAATATATTCCTTTACATGAATTGGAATGTTTATGGATTGAAAACTTGTTTACACTATTTTCATATCTTGTATAAGTCTATAAATCCATTCAAGATATTTCAAGAGGTTGTTTAAGTTATTTTGTCAAAATCATGTGTTTTCCAGATTTTGTATTTTAAGTGATTTTGCAAAATGATAAGATTTCACAAATGGGAAGTGCTATTTGAAAACCAGTTTTTGTAACATATTCATTATCATGTTTATAAGCATTCCCCAAAGTTTTACATTTTTCTGAATTTGTTTACTATTTTTAAATCGAGTTTAAAAATTAAATTTTTAGTTTTCAGCCTGAGTATCAGTAATATCAGTTCACGGTCGACCGCATATGTCGTTGCGGTCGACCGCGAAAAGTCCAGAGACTCAACCTGTTTTCTCAGCTGCTCACGATCGATCAGACTGGTCTCTGCGGTTGACCACCAATATAGTCGTTGCACAGTAACGGCTAGTTTTTAGTTTTGTTGTTTTGTGGGTTTTTGGTCTTTTTGTGTGGGTTTTGGCTGATGTTTTGGGTTGTTATAAATACCCCATTACATTTAACTCTCCTACCAACCAATAGAAATGTTTTAAAAGAGTTAACAAAAGTTTAACAAGGATTTAAGTGTGTTTTAGTGTTTGTTTCAAGTTTGTTTTTGAAGAGATTTTTACAAGAGCAAGAGGAGAGAATCTTTGGTGTTTGAGCATCATTCCATTCTCTCTCTCGCTTTTGATCTATATAGAAGTTTCCCTAAACTCTTTCTAGTTTTGTATTTATTTGTTTGTTAATCATTTTTATTAAAGCTAGATTTATATTAAGTTTAGATTTGATTTGATTTATCTCTTTGTTCACACATAACCATTGAGCTTATTGTATTTGCATACATAGTATATATTAGGGTTAGTGGGATTGTGACATTGAGAGTGAGCATTAATTGAGTTCTCATCTATTGTAGAGAACAAACATTGTATTTGTGCTTAATTTGTGAGATCACTTTGTAATACACTTATACACCGAAAGGAGTGTGTGGTGAGAGACGGGGTCGTCCCAAGAGGAGTGTCGTCGGTAGTAAAGCCTAGGGAAAGGTTATAAATCTGAGCACTTGAGGGTGACACGGCTAGAGACCAACACTTAGAGAGTGTAGAGTGGGATTTCAAGAGTATTGATTGTAAAGTTTTTTGGTGAACTAGAAAACCGAGTGTGAGGTGTAAACGTTTTTGGGTGAGCGTCGAAAACCCGGTGTGATAGTGGATTTCTCTCCGGGAGTGGGGAGCGGCGTAGGACAGAAGGTCCGAACTTCGTGATCATTTCTTGTGTGTTTGAGTTTGGCTTGTTCGCTTATATTTTGTTTATCTCTATCGTCATTCTCTCATTGTCTAATTTATGTACTATATTGTTTGTATTTATTTATAGTTTACTTACCCTTGTTTGTATATCCTTGTATATATATCTTGTTGCATATCTAATTTGCTAGGATATTTGTTAATTAGTTTTTATTGGCATTAAATTGGATTAGATTTGCATAAACCCTATTCACCCTCCTCTAGGGTTCTTTCCTAGTGGCATTAGGGTCTAACAAAACAAAGTTCATTTGATGAGGCTGTTATTCAATCTAAAAACGATGGAAGGCGCATCAGTAGCTCAACATCTCAATGAACTCAACATAGTCACAACCCAGTTGAGTTCAGTTGGGATTAAGTTTGATGAGGAAGTTCGAGCGTTGATCCCTTTGTCTTCCCTACCATAAAGCTAGAACGTTACAGTCATGACTGTGAGTAGCTCATCGGGAAGCAATAAGTTGAAGTTCGATGCCGTTCGTGATCTGGTTCTTAGTGAAGAAATTCGGCGGAGAGAATCAGGTGAAGCTTCAACCTCCTCAGTTTTACACGGAGTCTAGAGGAAGAACTTCAGAAAGAAGTTCAAATAACGGCATATCAAAATCTAGAAGGAGCAAATCTAGATCAGGAAAGAAAGATTTCAAGTGTTACAATTGTGGTAAGAAGGGTCATTTCAAGAGGGAGTGTCGCGCACCGAAAAAATACCGACGCACAGGAGTCTGCCAATGTGACCGAGGAAGGAGGTGATGCTATGATTCTAAGCGTCAACAGTCCAACTGAATCATGGATTCTTGATTCAGGAGCATCCTACCATGCCACCCCATGCCGAGAAATGCCGAGAAATCATGGAGAACTACGTCAGCGGTGATTTCAGAAAGGTACATCTAGCAGATGATGAAGCCTTAAAGATCGTTGGAAAAGGAGACATCCAATTAAAATTGCCAAATCAGATCACATGGAAGCTGCAAGGCGTGAGACATATTTCTGGTCTTAAAAATAATTTGATTTCTGTGGGGGCAGCTTGATGGAGAGGGTTATTGTACAACCTTCTCAGGTCAAGAATGGAAGATTACCAAAGGAGCACTCGTCATTGCTCGAGGTAAGAAAAGTGGTACTCTCTATGAGATTACCAAAGGAGCACTCGTCATTGCTCGAGGTAAGAAAAGTGGTACTCTCTATGTAACCTCTAACTTAGAGAATATTATGGTAAGAAAAGTGGTACTCTCTATGTAACCTCTAACTTAGAGAATATTATTGCAGTAACAGATGCAGATGAAAAATCAAACCTATGGCACCAAAGGCTTGGCTATATGAGCGAGAAAGGGATAAAGACACTTCTGTCAAAAGGGAAGCTGCCGGATCTGAAGAATGTAGATGTCGGCTTATGCAAGGATTGCATCTTTGGTAAACAGAAGACAGTCAGTTTTGCAAAGATTGGCAATACACCCAAGGCAGAAAAGTTAGAATTGATTCATATCGACGTATAGGGGTCATCTCTAGTTCCATCTCTTGCAGGCTCACTGTACTATGTCACCTTCATTGATGATTATACAAGGAAGGTGTATGTCTATTTTCTGAAGAAGAAATCAGAAGTCTTTGATACCTTCAGAAAATGAAAGGTCATGGTGGAAAATGAAACTAGTTTGAAGATAAAATGATTGAGGTCGGATAATGGAGGAGAGTACAAAGACAATAGATTCAAAGAATTTTGCGTAAACAATGGGGATCAAGATGGAGAAAACTGTTCCCATGACACCGCAGCAGAATGGCGTAGTGGAGCGCATGAACAGAACTTTGAATGAACGCGCCAAAAGCATGAGGATACATGTCGGCTTGCCCAAGTTCCTATGGACTGAAGCTATCAATACCGCAGCCTACCTAATTAATCGCGAGCCCTCAGTTCCCTTGGACGGTGGAATACCGAAAGAAGCTTGGAGCAAAAAAGAGGTAAACCTTTCACATTTAAGAATTTTTGGTTGTATCTATTATATACACATAGATTCTGCTGAAAGAAGTAAACTTGATGCCAAATCTAACAAATGTAATTTTGTTGGTTATTGTGGTGATGAGTTTGGTTACCGATTGGGATTATGAAAATCGGAAGATCATCAGAAACAGAGATGTCATATTCAATGAGAATGTGATGTATAAAGACAGATCAACTGCAGAATCAAATAGCTCTAGTACAAAAGCTGAAACAAAGGAATTTGCTGAATTTGAGGGGATTTTTGAAAATGATGTTCAAATTAGTCCTGAAGTAGTTCAAGAAGATCCAAACACGTCAGAAGTGAGACGCTCCTCCAGAATTCCTAAGCCAATCTAGCGTTATTCGCCTTCTATGCACTACCTGTTGCTGACTAACAGTGGTGAACCGAAGTGTTATGGCGAAGCAATACAGGTGGAGGATTCAGTCTAGTGGGAGTCTGTTATACAAGATGAGATGGACTCGCTTATGTCAAATCAGACGTGAGACTTAGCTGAATTACCACCAGGTAAGAAAGCTCTTCATAACAAATGGATTTACAGGATCAAAGAAGAACATAATGGGAACAAGCGCTACAAGGAAAGATTGGTCGTCAAAGGTTTTCAGCAAAAGAAAGGTATTGACTACAATGAAATTTTCTCCTCGGTCGTGAAACTGACTATAACCAGTCTGGTGTTAAAAATTATAGCTACTGAGAACTTACATCTTGAGCAGTTAGATGTAAAAATAGTATTTTTTTTCATGGTGATTTAGAGGAGGAGATCTATATGAAGCAACCAGAAGGCTTCATAAAGACAAGCAAGGAAAATCTAGTATGTCGTTTGAAGAAGAGCTTGTATGGATTAAAACAAGCTCCTAGGCAGTGGTACAAGAAGTTTGACAGCTTTATAGGCAGCAATGGTTTCGCTAGATACCAAGCAGATTATTGTTGCTATCTCAAGAGGTTTGACAATAGCTTTATTATTTTATTGTTATACGTTGATGACATGCTCGTTGCAGGTTCAGATCTACAAGACTACAAGAGATTATAAATTTGAAGCAAAAATTGTCAAAGCAATTCGCAATGAAAGATCTTAGTGCTACAAAGCAGATTCTTGGAATGAGGATCAGGAGAGACGAAGTCTGTGACTTTGATGTTATCACAGGCTGAGTACATCAACAAAGTACTCCCCAAGTTCAATATGCAAGATGTTAAACCAATGAGTACACCTTTAGATGTTCATTTCAGAGTTTCCAAAGAGCAGTCACCAAAGACAGAGGAAGAGTGTGCACACATGGCGAAGGTCCCGTATGCCTCAGCAATTGGAAGTCTGATGTATGTCATGGTTTGTAGAAGACCAGATATTGCTCAAGCAGTGGGAACTGTTAGCAGGTACATGAATGATCCGGATAAGGTACATTGGGAAGCAGTCAAATGGATCATCAGATATCTACGGGGCACCACAGGTAAAACACTTTGTTTCAAATATGGAGATACAATAGTAACAGGTTATGTGGATGCTGATTTAGCAGAAAATGTTGATGTTACAAAAAGAGCACTACAGGGTATGTCTATAATCTAGGAGGTACTGCAGTGAGTTGGGTTTCTCAACTGTAGAAAATAGTTGCTCTCTCCACAACTGAAGCAGAATATGTCGCTGTTACAGAAGCCAGTAAGAAAATAGTTTGGCTTCAAAGTTTCTTGGATGAATTGGGCAAGAAACAAGAAGACAATGTCTTATATTGCGATAGTCAAAGTGCTATTCATCTAGCAAATAATCCGTCTTTTCATTCCAGAATGAAGCACATATAGATGTGGTATCATTTTATCCAGTCACTTCTGGAAGATGGAATTTGGAAACTTGAAAAGATCAGTGGAGCTCAAAATCCGGTAGACATGCTGACAAAGACGGCAACTACTGACAAACTGAAGCTGTGTTCAACTTCAGTTGGCTTGCAATAGTATCAACGCCGGGGATGAACTGCTGCATAGATCGAGATGTGAAGACAGATTGAAATCAGTTTTCAAGTGGGAGATTGTTAGACAAAAGCAGCCACCGCCCAAAGAAAAATGAGGTAAACTTTTGACAGCACCGAAAGAAGAAATGGGTGGGCCCCAAAGCAAGAAAAAATATGTAGGCGGGCCCCATCGCGGGTCCCACTACTAATAAAATATTAGTGCATAGTATTTTCCCAAACACTATAAATAGGCCTCAAACTCTTAAAGAAAAACCCATCCCAGAAACAAATCCTCTTATAGAAGAGTAAGAGAGAGAAAAGGAAATGCTTAGAGAAAATGCCTTGTGAGAGAAAATTGTGAGCAATTTTCAAAGTGGGATACGTGTTGTACTTATTTGTGAGAGTGTTCGTAAATTTTCTCCCCTTAGTGAAAGATCTACAGCAGCTCGTGGACGTAGGCAATTTTGTGCCGAACCACGTTAAATTTGCGTGTCCCTTTATTTGCATATTTATTTCGCTTTCTCATAAATCTGATAACAAGGAAATTTGTGTAGTTTCCTAACAAAGCGTGCCTTACTTTCTTGGTTACGTAGTTTAAGCTCACATAAATGGAAAATGACATGGTGCCTAAGGGAACTGTATTCATGTCGCATTTTTTGTCCTAAGTTTGCGCATTTACTCCCTTCTATGACATAAACTCCTCTTCACTTGGCTGTAATTTGTTCCATTCTGAAATCACATCTACGAAGAATTACCATCCTGCAGGAAAATAAACAATAGATTTATTTTTAGTTAAAACTTAAGATAAATAAATAAATAGAAATTAAAGAATTAGCCTCTTCCAACTGCTGTAGGTTGCAGTTGTGATGGCTGCTTTCCCTGTTGTACCTCTTCTGCTGAGCAGGGTTCGTATCTGCATTTCGGCTTCACACTCCAGGGAAGACCTCGTTAAAGCCTTAGAGGTACAACTAACAAACTGAATTCCTTTTGCTCCGTCAACATCTTATATAAAACAATAATCAGCATTTTAAAAGATCTGTAACGTTTATGACAAATTACAGGTCTTCAGTGAAGCTGCTAACCTTGTTGGCATCAAGTGCTCACGGGTTGAGCCTCAGCAGACACGCGCTGAAGAGAACACGAAGAAGCTCGAGTAGGAAAATGTTGCAAATTCAAAGATTCAATTGCCATATAAATTCAGGTCCGTTTCAGTTGATAGGTTTTCCTTGTGTGTCCCTTTTTGGCGGATAGCGATGACAAATTCTTTATAGCAGATAAATTCAGAAGAAAGTGTAAACTAAACTCGTTTAAGGCGTATGTATGATTGTGTGTTTGAGTGTTAAGCACATTATATGACTATATTTGGATTCGCCTGTGATGTAGACTTCAGAATGTACGTATTCTCACAGCTCTATTCTATACTCAGCATGTGTCTGCAGTCATTCAGTCAATTATGATAGTAAGATAAAGTGCAGTTTAGTTTTTCACCAATTTGTTATCTGAAAAATATGTTTAAAGTTGAAGGGTGTTTTTTGAGAACCCCAAACCCAATGGGTGGTTTGCAAAAGTTATCTTTTTAGTATATATTAAGATAAAGTGCAGTAGAGTTTTTCGCCAATTTCACGCAATAATTCCACTCCATCACTCTCAACTAGAAAAAAAAAATTTGGATGAGGTTAAAACAGGTAATGTAAAACTGATACATGAGATCAAGTATTGGCCGAGACGAGAAGACAAGCAGTCGAGACGACATCAGCAGCAGCCAAGTCGACATTAGTTGAGACGAGAAGAAAACAGACGGGTCGAGTCGAAATGACAACAGGACGAGTCGACACAACCTAGCCGAGATGAGCAGACGACTCGAAGAGACATGACGGGATGACAGGCGATAGGACGGGACGACAGGCGACAGGACGAGTCGACACATGCCAGTCGACACGAAAGGCGGGACGACTCGACATGCTTAGTCGACTCAGAGTCGGCACGCCTCGTGTCGACTCGGATTTCAGATTAGGAAAGAGTTCCTAATTGATTATTTCCTTTTGTGATTTGGTTATTTCCTTTTAAACTTAAGAGTTTCTTTTTTATTAGAGTTAGGATAGATTTATTTTTGCTTTATATAATAGTTCCTTTGTAAAATAAAACAATTAACTTTTCAATTTATTCAATCAAGAGAATTTTCTCCTTGTTCGTTCTCAAGTTTGAGAAACTTAGAGTTTGTGGACTCAAGCTCGTAAATTGCTTGCTATTGTCAGGGCTCGTCGGTATCGGAACGATATCCGATCGGCCTCCCCTTTTCTATATCTGCGTCAAGTGGTCAAAGCTTCGGCTTCAACATCCTCGACAATGACAGATGACGGCGAGAAGGAACTTTCTCTACAGGATTTTCCCGCGAGGATGGATTCTATGGATGGAAGATTTGGCACGTTGGAGGCGTCTCTTCAGAACCTTCAACAAACCATTGAAAGACTTACCATTCAACTCAACAATGGGACTAATCTTGCCGGCGGTCTTCACCTAGGCGTACCCGGAGTTGGGCAAACCCGACATACACCCCCGTACAACCCTCAAAACCCTCCAGTTCAGCCCCCTCCATATAAACCACGTCCAAACCAACCTTTGCCAAATCAAACCCCTCCGTATCAACCCCATCCATATCAAAACCCTCCCCATCATCGACGACTTCCCAATCAACCCCTTCACCATGATGATTACAGTGACGACGGAGCGGACTATGGTCACCAATTTGAAGGGCCTATTGGCCTCTTTGTTTTGATGATGTTTAACAAACAATTTACCACTAATGTTATTTGTCTAGTATTTGTGTTAACAAACAATTTACCACTAATGTTATTTGTCTAGTATTTGTGTTTTCTTATTTATTATAGACAAACAACAAGTTGGAGGATGGATGGAATCGTTATTTGTCTAGTATTTGTGTTTTCTTATTTATTATAGACAAACAACAAGTTGGAGGATGGATGGAATCGAGCATTCACGATTATAACAAATGGAGGTTGGCGGAATTGTGGAGTGAAGCCTATGCAATTCAAATTGAAGATCCAAGTTCTACCTTCACCCGCAAGTATACCAAGTTGAGCTACATCGAAGATCTATCAAGCTTGGGTATATTTAGTTTATAGTTTATATTATGTGTGTTAGTACTTTAAGCTCAATCATATATACACACACATATTTGGTTTTTATATATATAGTTATATATATACACAAGTTTTGGTTTATGGATTTAACAATCATTGTATACATATTTCATTAAGTCTATAAAATCATCTCATAGGGTTTCAAAACATTGTTTATGTTAAAACATCAAATTTCATGTATATCACATTTTCATGTTTTGGACACACTTGCAAAATACATGAGTTTTCACAAATGGGAAATTCAATTTGAGAAATTCTTTTTCTAACATGTTTAATTTCATGTTTATAAATGTTTTCCAAAGTTTTATCAATTTTGGAATTAATTTGTTATGATTATTTGAATTTACAAAATCAAGTTTTTAATAAGCTCATGTTCGTGCACATGTTCATGCATGTTTTTGCAAAATAGATATGTTTTCACAATTAGGAAATGTGATTTGAAAAATTTCTTCGTTTATATGTTTATCTTCATATATACAAATATTTTTCCAAGTTTTACTAATTTTAGAGTTGTTTTGTTATTTTCAATTGAATTTACAAAACCAAGTTTTCAGGAGTTTTTTTTAGAAACTATATATTTATGTTCAAACATTTATTAATCTCAACTGGAAAGTGATATTTCAGAAATTTTTTCTCTAACATATATATCTACATGTCTAAAACCTTCTCTCAAAAGTTTATGATTTTTGAAGTTGATTTACTATTTTTAATTGATTTTACAAAGTCAGATATGCAAAATTCCAGAATCTGTCAAAAACAGAAACTGTCTGTGAACAGTACGGTCGACCGTGCTACAGTAGGTCAACCGCTATTACTGTAGCAGTCGGCCGTTGCACAGTAATGGTAATATCTATTTTTTTGTTTTTTAATGGGTTTTTGAGGTTTTTTTAGTTGTTTTTTTCAAGCCTATATATACCCCTTTGTCATAACTATTTTATATAACAATGAGAGTGTTTTAAACAAGTTTTAACAAGGGTTTATGTTTGGTTTAAGTTTTGTTTAAAAAGCTTTTAAGAAAATTGAGAGTTTGTTTTATGAAATCAATTCCATAAGAGCTTGAGGAGATCAACCATTGGTGTTTGAGCATCCAACTATTCTTCCTTTACCTCTTGATCTATTAAGAAGTTTTCTAAACTCTATTTCTAGCTTTATATCGATTTGTTTGATTATCATTTTGTTAAAGTTAGTTTTATATTGAGTTTAAGATTTGATTAATCTCTTTGTTACACACACACCCACATTGAGCTTTTAGTATTTGCATGCATAGTATATTAGGATTGTGAGAGATTGTAACATTGAGTTATGCTTAATTGAGTTCTCGCCTTGTATTAGAGAACAAATCATTTGAGATTGTAACATTGAGTTATGCTTAATTGAGTTCTCGCCTTGTATTAGAGAACAAATCATTTGTTGTTATATTGTTAGTGTTGTAAAGTTTTCGGTGAGCATTAGAGAACAAATCATTTGTTGTTATATTGTTAGTGTTGTAAAGTTTTCGGTGAGCTAGAAAACCGAGCGTGAGGAGTGAACGTTGATCAGTGAGCGTTGAAAACTGACACTGTGAGCGATGGTGAACGTTGATCGGTGAACGTTGAAAACCGACATTGTGAGGTATAAGCGTTATTCGGGTGCGCGTAGAAAACCCGATTGTGATAGTAGATTTTTCCCGGGAGTGGGGAGCGGAGACGTAGGACGGAAGGTCCAAACTCCGTGATCATATTGTGTGTTTGCATTATTTAGTTACACTATCACTCTTATCTTGTTTATGTTTATTTCACCCTTATGTTAGTTTATATATCCTTGCATATATTACCTCTTTACTAGGATATATCTCTTTATTTATATTGCTTATTCTTGTTTATAATACTTATATATCTATCTTGTAAGAATAATTTATTAATTAGTTTTAATGGTATTAAATCGGATTAGATTAGCTTAAGACCCTTATCACCCCCCCCCCCCCCCCCTCTAGGGCT